TTTTTCAATACTGTGTTTGGCTCTACGCTTATACAAGTTTGAATACGTCATATTCAGAAGTAGGCGTTGGAGCACGACGAGAGGCTGTAGAAGGATCTAAGAGGAAGGGAGAAGGACACCAAAGATTGCTGACAGAGCATTGAGAGCTTAAAATGATAGCTGAACAGCTTCAAGTTTAAAGTTAGTATCGAAAGTTGTATTAGTCTATAGAAATAAGGGCTACTAATGGGACTTAGTCTGCCCTATTTTTCTTACTACAGTTTTCAGCAACAAGCTGTAATATATCAGGTCTGTTAAAATAAAACTCACGTCTTTGCCCACTTTTAACTGAATTTGGTTGAGAACGGATGGAAGAGCAGAGGTTGATAACCGGTGGAGAAACGGAACGAGGGAGCGAATTTTTTTGCGGGTTGTGTTCCAAAAATTTCAAGAAACACTTACGGATATTGTTGAGGAAGTTTTATTTGAAAAAACTCTGTTTTTTTTTTTTTGTTTATCATTTGGGTTCTTCAAATGCTTTTAAAAAATCTGTGGAAATCATGAATATTGAAAAATTTTTTTAATTTATTGAATATTAAAAGTATTTTGCCCTTCATACTGCCAAAAAGCTACTGCTTATTAAAAAAAAAACTTGAAAAAAAAGAAGCAATTATGTTGGGTTGGATGAAGTTAAAAAATAATATTCAAAGATAACAGTGTAGAAATTTTGGTGACTGTAGTTTACCAAAAATTTTTATCAATTAAGAATTCCAAAAACAGCCATATATCATATCTCAATTTGATGACGACTGTTTATTGCTTTGGCTGTCAGTAGGCTTTATACTCTTCTGCATGTAGAATCGCTCACCTCTACACATATAAATGTCAATAAAACGGTTAAAAAAAAGTTTAAGATGTAAAACTGTTTACTCCCTTTACTTCAGTGGAAAAAAAAAAAACAAATATTCAGCAAGTGTTATTAAACTTCAATCTCGTACTGTATTTACATCGACTGACTAAGTGAACTGTTGTATGCAGCAAAAAAAGCTAAACAGTCGAAGGATTGGATGAGTTTGGAGAGGTACTTACATATTACATAATCTGTATAGCCTCAAATTATTACGAATGCTTTACTGTGCAGCTTTGGTATTAGTTGTGCGCTTTGAACATTTTTATAGGACTTTCTTATAATATTTATTTAGGAAGCACCAACAAAGCAACCAGTAAGGCATCTGGGATTGTAAGACGGGGCAGATTCAACTGTTTGGAAGAAATTGATACTGAAAGAAATTGCCGTCTGTTATATGATATCTGTAACTGCTGCACTGTTAAACCTACAAAAAAATTCTGATTAAGGGATTCGAAATAAATTGGAATTATTTGCACCTGGTGAGATTACTGCTATATATAAAGCTTTCTTGGTAATTCTAACGACCATTCAAATTAACAAATGAAAGAGAAGTTTGAAGTGTTCGAAACTAGAGAAGTTAAATGTTTAAAACATTGTTTAACTGCATACATAAGGCTTTCATGTAAATGTTGCTTTTTTCCAATTTGAACATTCGAAGAGGCTTTTTTGAGTTTCTTAAGGGGCTGATCTGTATAGATCATACAAAAAAAGATTGCTGTGAATAAGTCGAAGTAACACATAGAATTCTTAAGGGGCTGATCTGTATAGATCATCCAAAAAAGATTGCTGTGAATGAGTCGAAGTAACATTGGAATTGGTTTTTGTTTCATCGGCTTTTGAAACATCAGTACAAGAAAATAAATTACGAAAAGTCAGTTTTTTCCTCTACAACCAAAAAAGACCGAAGCTCTTTCAGTTTGGTGGCTCCACTTTCTTTTCAACCACTAAAAAGTAATCGTAATAAATTTGAGTCTATTTTGTTACAACGAAAAGAAGTCGATGAAGCCTTCACCGAAACGGAGCCGAAATACGTCTCGATAATGTTACGCGTTATTTAAAATTTTTCATCTTTTAATTTGACTGCTACAGCTATACTTTCACTGGTCAGTCGTGAGAAATGCATAAGGTATATCACTGCAGAATTGGTTCGCTGTTAGTGTTTCATTCGACTGTGCTATTGAAGGCATGTAGATTTAAATGCATTTAAAGCCGTTAATACCCGAAAGTTTGAAAAATTCTGCAAATCACTGATCGCAGCTGTGAACCTGATGACCTGGAAAGGTTTTGCTGGAAAAAAACGGCACCGCTAAGGCTATCCACCACTGGTGACCGCTTTATGCTTGATGTTAGCTAGTCGCTGTCAACGTATGTCAAAAAAACCCAGCGGATGATGTACTAAGATTGCTTCAGCAGCCGCGCGCACTTAATTCTCGACCCCGCCCTATTTCTAGTGCTACGTGCGTGCGAAGGCCCAAGTAAGTTGAGGCTTTCACGCATACGCTGAAAAAAGAAAATAAATAGACTTGAGGTATGTGGGGCTTCAGCAGTGAACAAAACTAATTTTCAGCTACGTTTATTTTTTCAAACTTCAGGCGTTTAATAGTGGAAACTAAAGTGGAGAAGGGACTATTCCTCTGTTTAAATGCTGCTCAAAAAGAGATCTGTTGACAGACGTATATACTTATCAATTGTCTTGCGCAGCCTTTCGTCGATATGCTGTGCTGTTTTATTGATGGCACGTTGCCCGAGCGATTTCGGGCATCGGTGATACAGTCGATTAACAATTAATTAATTGCTGCGGCAACGTTGTCATTCGGTGTTATTTTTCGTCGGCTGTACCATAGTGTAGTGGTTGTTCAAAGTTTTTCCTGAGGCTCAACTGCACTTTGTGTGATACGTTGTGTGCGGTTTGATTATGACGTGGGAATGTATGGAACAGATTTATTCTGGAATACTTGTTGGATTGCTTGGGGCTGGCTTGACTGCAGGTAACCAGTTGGGGTATAGTAAGCAAACTTAGCCATTATTGAGGATTTGGTTGTCAGTTGGTGACTGTCTGGCTGCGTTGTCAATGATCTGTTCGTTTCTGGTGTTAATTGGAACGCTCAAGTATTTTGCTCT